TATATATATATATATATATATATATATCCCCAGCCAGTTAAAGAGTTGCAACTAAGCAGTTTTAAGAAAGAAGGGGAGGGGGGAAAGTCTACTTAGAAAATGATTTAAGTCCTGAAGTAAAATGGAATCTCAGCATCTCCCTTCCACTCAGAGCATAAGGGGAAGCTCTCCCAGCTGTTCCAGGCACAAAGAGGCAACTGCATGTGAGCAAAGGTGCCCCCACATCAGGTCACTGGGTGCATAAAACGTGCCAGGTCTCACAGCAAAGCGGGAAGTCCCTGCCTTGACTCGATTTGCCCAATGCGGGAGAGAACTGGCAGCTTTCCCAGACATGCCCACCCCACATTATCAGCACGGCATCCACCAGCGAGTGCAGTTAAAATGGGGATAAGGATGGGCCACCCCTACCCACCCTACAGCCCCCCCCCCCAAAGTTCCCTTAAATAAATCCCAATGCGCCTTAAATAACAGAGAAGGATGTTTTAAAAAAGGAGAACGTTAAAAAGCTCTGGCGAGCTCCCACCTAAAAAAAGAGAGCTTGGGATAGCTTGCATTCTGGCTCCACCATCAAAAGGCACTGAAATGACAGCTTCGTTATACACATTGACCCATTGGGGGGGATGAGTAAGGGAGGGCTTAGAACCCCATCCGATGTCTTCAGTGCAGAGAAGGGGAAGGACTGGGCTTATTGGGAATAGGGAAGATGGCAGGGTAACTAGAACTGCCAATAGAGAGCCCCCCAATCGGCGTTCGAGGGTCCTCAAGTGCATCTTAAGGCCTTCTAAAGTCTTCACTTCCTTCTGAGAAGGACCAGAGAGCTGCCACGGAGAAGGAAAAGATCTTCCAGGTAAGGATCAGCAAAGCTTTCGGGGAGGAGGAGAAACACCCTCCCCGTAACACACAGATTCACTTGGGGCGGTGGCTCCGATTAGCCAGTCCATCCGCAGGCAGAAGCGAGGGCCTTTGCAGGACTCCGCTGCAGAATTAAGAGGCACCTGGCAGGAACTCATGGGACCTGGCTTCCACAGGGAGATCTGCTTCAAGGATCTCGCCTCCCTCTGATCTGGACCCCTTGGAGGAACTTGAAGTGAGAGTCGGGCCTGCGGAATGCTTCCTTCCTCAGTATCCGACTCAGACAGCCCCCGCCCCCCACCCCACCCCGGGGGAAGAATCTTAGTCCAAACTGGGATAAGGGGAAGTAGGGGACCTACAGATCGATTCCACCGAAGAAGGAAAAGCAAGGAAACGACAGGTGAGGCTCCCTTGCTGCATTATTCTGCAGGCTTTTTTCCCCCCCTAGAGCTGGTTGTGTTCTTTTTTTTTTCCAGAACTGTCACAATTTCCTCGGTTGTACATTGGGCCCTTTGCTGTGTAGCTGAGAACTATCTGAAAGAGACATAAAATGAAGGGTCATGAATATACATGGCAGTAGAGTTCCAAAGTCTTAGCTATTAAAAGATACTTCAATCACACTTTTGACTTCTTTCAAGAGTATAGATTCACAGGGAAGGATGGAATTACTATGTCCAGCTGAAAAAAATTCTGCACTGGGGGAAAAAAATAATACCCAGGAAGAGAATTCATGGTAGGTGAATGGTTTTGTCGTAATCTAGACCTTCTCCATTGGTACCACACTAGAGGCAGGGAAGCAGGGAGAGAGAATTTATTTATTTATAAACTCTTATCTCCCACAATATGGAGAATGGAGGTAAGACAGGCAAGAGAGGTAAGGGAAGGAGAGAGGGATAGGAGAGAGGGTAGGAGGGGGTAAGAGGAAGAGAAAAATGGAGAATGGAAAGGGGAGAGAGGAAGGGGAAGTAGAGAACGGAAGGAGGACAGAGAGAAGAAAGGAGGTAGAGAGGGGGATGAGAGAGGGAGATAAGTTTATGCACAAATATAGTGTATGGCGAGCAGAAGAACCAATTACTGGGTTTTTTTCTTTTTCTTTTGGGGAGTTGATGGTAA